ATCCGCACAGATGTAGGGCCCTTCACTTTGAATTCATCAAAACTAGACAATCGGGCATCAGAAAAACTAAAACAACTTCATAGCCCATCAAAATAAACTTCGAAACTCAGTTTGACAATTGCATCTTTTTTTTTTTTTTTGTCAAAACTGTCGTTTGATAAATGCTGGCAAAACAAAATCCATGCACAGTGCCACAAGATAGTTGTCGCACAAAGTTGACAGCAAAAACTTGTTAAACTTTATGAAACAACGAGAGCACAACAACTACAACAACAACAATAATGACAACAACAATGAAGGAGAAATACAGAAATCTGTCCCATGTATTATTAAAGACAAAACCGCAAAAGACAAGGCGGATTATGTTGCCTCATAGAGCTGTTTATGTTCATGTTTTGGCATCTGGAGGAAGGAAGTGAATGAGAATACTTTTTCAGGGATGGGCTAAAGTTTATGAAAATGTCAAGCCCCGAAATTTATACAAGCAACAACATTTTGTTGCTGCCACAAACGCATTGCAGTTGCCAGTTGAGTTGCCACTTTGATACGAGTAGTTCGTAAAATCAAAGGGGAAATTGTGCATAATGGTGGAAAAAAGTAAAGGCTGCATGAACAGAAGCAAAAGTTTCAGTTCAGTCTTGAGTGCCGCTCATTTCGTAATTGAAAATGTTGCTGCGAAAGCATTAGCAGGGAGCTGCGAATGACATTTGCATTTATACGCCCCTGCCATGCGACCTTCCATCCATCCATCCATCCATCCATCCACCCGATCCACATAACAATATTGTTTTGCTTTTGCGTTGCTACGTTGGGAAGGGGAACTCCCATTCCCGACCCCTGCTTCTGTTTATTAAGTGCGCCACGAATTTGTACGTGACAATTCTTTCGACGACTTGCTCGGCTCCTTTCCATCCTTTGCATCCTTGCCAGCCGCTCCATCTTATCAGAGTTGAGCGACAGCTGCTGTCATTGCTGTTGCTTCCTGCTCTGCAATCGCTATGATTATCTCTGCTCCTTCTGTGCAACGATGCAATGTCAGAGTTGAGCCGGGCTGGGCTGGGTTGTTGCCGCTATAATCAACATCCTCAAGTGCAAGCTATTGATGTGCAGGGGGCGAGGGGAGCAGCATCGACATCGGCATTGCTGGCATTGCATTACAAGTGCATTGCACTAATTGGATATATGTCAAGTTGGAGTCGGGCGTGTCACAAGGCCGGAAACTGGTGTTGATTAACATTTGTTTAGGCCTTGTTGCTTGCGGCGACGAACTTGCTCAAGCGCATCGTCGATTCTTAGACGGCACGGAATTGCAACCGATATGTGCAGCACGCAGCACAAATTGCGGCACCGACGTGACTCCTACAGAATGGATTCCTAAGTGTTTGCAAAAAAATAAACTACCAAAACATAACAGTGTAGTATTGTGTAGAACTTTAGCTAAGTAAGTCAATCAGCAGCTGTTGGAGTTATGCATTTGTAGACTCGACTTTATACATTTATACATTCCATTGTGATCAATCATAAAGGGTGTTTTCTCATTCACAACTAGTTTAACTTTGATTAAATATAGTATTCCTGAATAGTATTCTAGACTCTAGAAACTAACAAAGTAGAACCGTTTCATGTAAATATTTTACTTGCCTAATGGAAAAACTTTAACTTTAGAAAATAATAATAACTGTAAGACTCTACTTGAAAATTAGTCTCGATCTTTAATATCTAATAGGTTCTGTCCTTAAATATTTAATAGTTATAAGCTAATTTAAATAAAAAATGGAATAAAAATAAACAATCAACGTGTTCAGTTCAATTTTAAATACAGCGAGCATCCCAAAAGACACCAGTCCCCATCCGGGTCGACTAGAGCCTTCTAAAAACCTTATAATTTTATTTGATCTTGTATTTTGCAAGATTTGAATAATTGTCCTTTTAGGACAGATTTTAAGCAACAATTTAAAAAAATACAGTTGTTTATTTATCGAACGGGGGAAATAGAGCAATAGAGTATACTTGGTCTCTCAACTTATAACTAAACATACTATTTATTACTAATTGCATCTGTACTTATTATTATTACTCCATAGACTATTTAATAAAATATTTCGCCATGTTCAATAATTTAAAGATCTGAAGATTGAGTTCTCAAAATCAATGTTTATGAAGCTCTTGTTTCTGAAAAACCCCATTTATTCTCGAAACGATAGTTTCATGGTACTTCTATATAAGTACTTAGGCTGCAAACCAAAGGCAAATTACAGTTCTACTTAAATCATATTAAATAATCATTTCAGTTCCTGCCTTCAAAATATATTGAAAATACAAGCATTTTTGAGCAACCATAAGTTTTTTCATTTAGGAAATACTCATCAAATGAAGGCGTTGGCTTTGATGGCTAAAACAGTCAATGGTTAAAATAGTGTATAGTACCTAAAATTAATTTAGGCTTTGACAAGCCGCAAGCAACTCAAATGCAATTAGCAGCAACTTCATTTAAATACTACATGATACTTGTGCCATCAAAAACTTGACATAATTGGGCATCGAATTGAAAATGTATCTAATACGTCAACTTAATTATATCTGTCTGGCTGCCAAGCAGGCCATCTGACTAACTGGCTGCCGTTGTCCTTCAATTGAATGTAGGATGCTGGGATTACAACGTGTTTGGGAAATTGGCTTGTGCCAAGCTGTTCCAAACACGAGCCGAAAATACACGGCATGGCAGCCAATTAGAGAAACCATAAGCGGCTTTTCCTATTAAAACAAGTAGTGGTATAAGGAGTGTGTTGGCCATCACTCACTTGCCCTCTGCAAGCAACAAATTTCAATCAATATGCACTGTGTACGGCTAGTTATGTTGCATTAGAAATGAACGCCCAAAAGCTCAGACCGCTCTATATTTATGGTATTATTTCGTATCGCCAGCGAATTGCATTTAAAGTTTTTCCTTATTTTACATCATTTTTCTTTTTCATGTCTGTTGTTGCTGACGAAAGTAGCCGAGCGCTTCAACAACGTTCTCTATGTAGATGAATTTCTGTCCGACGCAGACAAAGACGAGCACGTGGTGATGGCATGGGATTGGGTTGATTTGGGGGAGGGGGTTTGGGTTTTTTGTGCCACAGTTAATTATTTCTGTGACTGACAACGCCGCTGCTGTTGCCTGTTCTGGGCAGGATATTAGATGGAGTTGATGGCGTTTGCTTTTTGTTATGGCCCTGCGGGCGACGTCGCTACCTGGCTGTCCTTTACGGCATATCCTTGCCCACTTGCCCACGTTGCGAAGGGCATCGCTTCGTTTTCCATTTTCCTTTTTTGCGCTCTTAGTGGGATCTCTCCTATCTTTTCCAATTTGCTGCGCTCGCTTGCAATTTCTACGCATACATATATACTCGCATAGTGTATACGATTTTCAGCTTCTTTTTTTTTAGGTGGAGGGGATTGCTTGTTCAGCGGTTTGACAACTTTAGCAATTTTTCGTTGCATACTTCAAGGAGCTGGATTGACCACAGCATTTAAATGCATGCTCCTTCCAAACTTTATGCCATTTGTAATTAATGGCCAACTCTTTCGGGCTTTAACAAACAGCCGCACTTGCACTTCTTCAGCTATTTCACGCAACTTAAACTTCAAATACGAGTGCACACTTGTGCTTGAAAACTCTCTCCCTCCGAAGTACAGTCAACAAGCGCGAGCGAGACTGCAAGCTACATACATACAAGTATGTGCATGTATGAGTTATATATATATCAGTACATACATACATGCACATACATGTATGTACTTGTATGTGTATATGCATTCGGGTAAGTGGTGCTGAGTGATGTGCGCGCTGCTTCAGAAAACTTGCGCTGAAACTTCAACTGCGTGGGCCCTGACACAACTTCCCAGCATGGTTAATTAATTCTGTTTGCATACTTTTAGGCTGTCCAGCACACACTCCATACAGCATACTCCACACCCCATTGTGGCTGGAATGCTTTAAGCGGCACATAGTTTGGCCTTTTAAGCCCTCTCGCCCATGACTTTTGAGCCCCACATGCCTCGCAGCATACGTTCGCCAACATAAATATATCAAGTCAGTTCCCCACCCGATCATCCAAGTCCGCAGCTTGTCTACTATATCTGAAATATTTTATCCCAAGTCACGGCTTTCGTCGGCATATAGTTTAGGTTGTTTTTTCTTTTGGTTTGGGTGCTTCTTTGGTTGGCAACTTTTGGCTTGCCACTTTTAATTACGGTGCGTTGACAAATTTATTTGCATAGTTTAGGGCGCTGCTGCACTACGTTTGTGTGGCTTTGGTTAAAGCCAGCAATTTGTGGCTTGTATGCCAGCCTTAAAGAGTTTATAATTAAGTTTTAGTTGAGTTGGTTATCATGAATACATACATATAGTATGTGGTTGTATTTCTCGAGTAATTGAAGATGGTGGGTGGACAAAAGAAATGTATGCAAATTTTCCAAGAATTAACTTCTAGTGTACGAGTGTTAAAAAATGTAAATGTGTGGGAAAATGTAAACAATATTCTCAATTACAAACAATTCTCTAGTGGATTCAATTTGGTGCAATTTGGAAGTAAGCCTTGTTTGCCTTTCAATGGCTTGTTCTTGTACAAATCTAAGGGGGTCTATTCCCTTAAATTTATTAAATAAAATTAATGAAAATAAAGATAAATGTAGATCTATATATTATGGACCTAGTAATGTTTTAAATTCTTTATGTAGTGTTAAAAGAATTAAGCTCTGCTTATTATTTAGAGACGGATCTTGTAAAAACTTTACTCTGGAAGTTAAAATATAAAATTATATATATATATATATATATAGTTATAAAATATATATATAAAATAGTTGCCGCTAGCTGCTAGGAATCCAAAGATTAAAGTGTTCATACGGACAGACAAACAAACAGATATATAAATAAATAACAATAGTTTATCTCATGAAGTGCTTTGCTTTGATTAGTTTTTAAAAAGTAATATAAAATCTCATTTACTCACCTATAGCCATGGCTGTCTCCTGTGCATCACCCGTAACCATTTTGACGCGCACACCGCTCTGCATCAGCATCTCAATGGACTCTCGGACCAGTGGCCTGGGTGGATCGGTAATGCCTACCAGGCCGCAATAGATTAAATCCTGCATGGAGCGTCCTTTGGCCAGGGCCAGGACACGCAATCCCTTGCGTCCGATCTCGTAGGCTTCGGCCAGAAATTCGGCCTCATTTTGCTTGGTCAGTGGCACGGTCTGTGTGCCGAACTGATATTTGGTGCATTGGGGCAAGAGGGTGTCGAGAGCCCCCTTGGCGAAGAAAATCTCCTCCTTGTTGTTATTGTACTTGTGTATGCACTTTACCGCCATCATTTTCTGTTCCGAGCTGAACGGATATTCCTGTATGCGAACATAATTCTCAGCAGTAGCATACATGCCGTTCTTCATGGCTACGGCGATGAGGGCGCCTTCAGTGGGTTGACCCAATAGGGTTCCATTCTGTATGTAAGCATTATTGCATACGGCGCCAATTTCCAAGAGATTCGTAATATTCGATTTGGCCATTTCAACATTATTGCAATGGCGTATGTGTATCTCGCCCTGATCATTGTAGCCGGCACCGGTTACATCGGCCATATAGCCATCGGCCGTAATGATGATCGTGGCTGTCATTTCATTTTTAGTCAGGGTGCCAGTCTTATCGGAGCAAATAACGTTCACGCACCCCAATGTCTCCACGGTGGGCAACTTCTTCACAATGGCGTTCCGCTTGGCCATCCGCATTACGCCCAGAGCCAGTGTGACGGTCACCACAATGGGCAGACCCTCGGGTATGGCGGCCACAGCCAGCGAGACACTGATGTTGAACATCTCCGAGAGCGGCTTGCCTTGCAGCCAGCCCAGTAGCATGATGACGCCGATGATGAGAAACGAGTAGAAACTCAGCTGAGCGCCCAAAATGTCCATAGATTTTTGTAGCGGCGTCTTTGGAGCCTCCTCGGCCTGCATCATCTTGAAGACCTCACCGAACTCACTGCGCTCGCCAGTGCTGACAACAATACCCTTGCCATTGCCACAACGTACCAATGTGCCCATGAAGGCGATGTTCTTCATGTTGCTGTGATCCTTCACATTCGTGTTGTTCAGCAGCACGTCCGTGATTTTGCGCGCCGGCTCCGTTTCGCCCGTGAAACTGGACTCGTCGATTGAGAGATCGACCGCCTCGAAGAGGCGCACATCCGCGGGCACACGATCCCCCACATTCAGGTAGACCACATCGCCCGGCACCAGTTCGCGGGCCAGGAACGTGTCGAGTCGGCCCTCGCGCAAGCAATGACACTCCGGCGGCACCAGCTTCTTCAGCTCCTCCAGGCTCTTCTCGGAGCGGTATTCTTGGATGAATGCCACCGTTACCACAATCAGTATGGCTATGGTTATGCTGACGGCATCGTCGAACTGTTTCATGATCACCGAAACCAGTGCCGAGCCAAGCAGCAGCAGGATTAGGGGATTCCTAAACTGTTCTATGTATTTCTTCCATGTGGGATCCTCCTCGATGACATTGAGCTCATTGTGGCCAATGATTTTGGCGCGATATTTGGCCTCGGTCCATTTAAGACCTGTGCGCACATCGACTTGCAGACGACCTGCAACCTCGGAGGCGCTGTGCGTTGATGACTCGGAGGTGGAGAGCAGCATTTCGGGTGTTAGGGTTAGACCCGTCTATAAGGAATTGGAGAAAGAAACAGAGAGAGAGAGAGAGAGAGAAATTCAATAATTGAATAATTCTTAATATTGAAGATAAGTTTGATAAACTGTTATGTTTGCCGTTTTTAATATAATTAATTATTTATAATTATAAATAATTATTAATTATGTAAAGTGTTTGATGTCTTTAAAGGTTATATAACTAGGAATGTTTATTTGTTAAGCTCCAATGCTTCTACAATCGATATTTTTTGTCACTTTAGTCCAACCACTGTTTATTTATATTCTTTTATTATAATGTATGATAAGATCACGCGTTCGAATGTAATTTAACAGAAAACTTTAACTTTCAATACGACTGCGAGCGATTAGTAAATAGTTGCGATATCAATCATAAATTTCAAGCCATGAAATATAATAGAGCTGATGGGTATTTCAAGTAACCAACTACAGTGAAACCTCCATGTTCGCCTCTCTTGTGCGGACACTGTCTTGACCGGACGCGGACACAATTTTTTTTCGTTTTAGTTAAAGCCTCGGTCTTGCACGATCAAAATAATAGTACTGCTTGGACAAATATTGCAAAATAAATTAAATATGTGGTTATTTAGCTCAGGAATGGTTGCAAAATGAAAATATGTATGTATATATCTAGTGTAGCTATTGAATGAGTGACGGCGAGTATACGGCCAAGAGAGGTTTCACTGTACTATATATGGATATAATATAATATCACAATATAATTCGGTATATTTTTAAAAACTGAAAATATTGTAGAAGCTGGCTTGGTAATTCCTCAATAATAAGGCGTGATATCTTTGTGTACTTTTGCTGTTTTTCGGAAATGAAAGCAAGCGGATTACACAAAAATAAATATATCTGATAGTCATTTGTTGTAAAAAATCCTAATAAATCCTAAAAATATCCTAAGTTATTCGCTATTCACCTTCTGGCTTTGTTTTCATAAGAGCAACTACACAACACACCTGTTTCCCCAACAAACATATCCATTTTCCAGCATCTTCACTTAACGACCAATCACATTAAGCTTCCTATCATTTATCCAACGCTAGGACCCCAACTACCGTAAGTGTGCTGACAAGAGCATTAAGCGACCAGTCCGCAGTTGGAGAGTCTCTCCTTGTTGCCACAAAATTGAAAGACTGACAATTTGAGCCACGTACTATATGTATCTACATATGTACATGCAATGCCGACTGCACCGACCAACCACACTTCAAGCTAATTTGAGCTCGTCCACAACTTTGTAATCATTCATGGCATCGGACAAAGCCAGACGGGTGAGCCCACCCGCAGCCATCCTTCACACACACAAACATACACACACACACATACACTCAAACATGTTCTTCCTTCATGCAAGTTGTCAACTTTTGTTACATGGTCCGGTCTGCCTCTGTCATGTCCAGTCCAAAAGTAGCTCAGAGTTTTGTCACCGCATTCAACTGTCAGCGCTGGCTGAGGACGGAGGAAGAAACTTCCCAGCTGGTTACGTGACTGAGCTGGTGGTGGCATTAAAGCATTCCTTATTTTAATTTATATCTCCTTTTTAATTTATATAGATTTTTTGCTACCTCGTTTTTTTTTTACTCGTACGTAAACATGGTTGGAGTGCGTCTCTTGCGTTCGTGCAAAATAAATTCAAATTGTGTATGCAGGTCGTACACTTTTTTCGCTCTACTACAAGTATATGGCTGCCGGAATACTGGGTATGTGGTGGTGCATATGGCTGACGGTTCCGATGCCATTACTTTTTTGCTGAAGCTCTCCACGCAAAATAGAGAATGGATGACTTTGCATTTCAAACATGTACAGTACATGTGAGAATTCCCATTAAAGAAATTGAATGCTTGTAACTTTTAAGGGCTATACTCTTTAAATGATTATTGAGTCTCAATTGAAAAAATCTACAAAAACTTAATTATTAGATAAGTATTAATCAACTTCTATCTATCTGAGGAGAATATGAATGTTGACGTAAAAATATTAAACTTTTATTGATACAAAACTGCACCATTCATAAAAATATATATTTAAAGCAGTAAGTATTACCTAAACCAACTATGCCTTTAAAATATATAATAACAGTTTAACTATAACTACAGTATTTAAAAAAATGTGCAAATATTAAAAATGTGAATACGCTATGCGCTGAATTATCGACAAAATAAAAAAATAAAAGAACAAAAGATTTTTAAATACACTCAAAATTTTAAACACTTTATAAAGCACAAACTCTTAGAATGAAATTAATATTGCTAAATGAAAAAGGTCTTCGGTAAAAGAGTCATTAATAATGGCCTCATAATTAAACGAAACAAAAGATATCACAACATATACCCATAACTAGCTTGGCAAAATTTTATTGTATCTCTGATTAGAAAAGAAGAGAAAGAAGAAGAATAAAGTGTTTGAAAGTTAAAAATAAAAAGGCAACAATGGTCTATTTGCTAAGTGGCCATAATCAAAGAATAAAGAATTGGCTTTTCTGCTATATTTTCATGGTGTAGTTCTATTTTGCTCTCTGTATATTGATTATTGCTATCATGTACACTTATATTTAAATTTGTCCTCGGCCTCTGGATTATGTCATGTATTCTAGCCCAAACCTACTTAAATGTTTTCCAATTTTTGTGCTCTTAAGTGTCCAGAAAAAGCTCTTAACCCAATTAGAAACAAATTCTTTTGGGGTTTATTCCATATGCTCATTTTTAAACTTAAAAGCGCGTATTATAGCCAAGTTCATTTAAGTGCCCGATATTTATACCAAAAAGTAATATAAACTATATGTGTATATATATATATATATATATATATCAAACAAGTTGCTTAGCACGCATATCAAAGCTATGCTATATATATATATATATATATATATATATATATATATATATATATATATATATATATATATATATATATAGCATAGCTTTGATATGCGTGCTAAGCAACTTGTTTGCAGATTAGTTCCAGATATTTTACATCATTTTTTTTTCTCTTGAACAGTCAAATTATTTGTTCTAGTACTATATAATAATCCTGAGTACATTTATACTTATGTACATTCCACTTATAAATGAATAACTGCTATGAACAAGCACTATTAAGGACCAGGTGCTTCAGAATTCCATTCTAGCGTAACTGCCACTGTCCAGTGGACCACTAGAGAAGACCAACAATTTGCCAATTCTTACATTTTTCATACCCTGCACCCAAAGGGTAAAAGAGTATGATGGTTTTTTTTTTTTTGCTAGCCAGCTGGCAACAAAGTTAATGAGCCAACCGTTTGAGCATTTCAGCTGCAGAGCTATATGAGTATTATGCATGAAACAGAACCCAAAAGGGAATCATTCATCTTCGCTAACTGGGGGCATTTAATTATGAAAACTGTGCGGTGTGCATTTTAATTAAATGCATTTTTGGTAAGCTGCCGAGTGAAGAACAATTTGTGAGGCCAAATAGCTGGCACATACTATACTCGTACCACAGCGATGGCAAAGCGGAATAATTGAAGCTACAATTATGCAATGCAACATCAAATTATTTAATTATTAGAGCTCTACAGAAACACCAGGCATACTGACGGCGAAATTGTTTCATTTTATTTAGGATTTATGCACCATTTAAGCAGAAAAGTGCATAATTGTTGAGCAATTTGAAATATCGTATACGAGTATTGCCTGAAAAATTATAGAGTTGTTTTTTTTTTTTTTTTTTTTTGCGCAATGAAAACACGGTTATATAAACAAATTGTTTCAGTTTATCGAAATTTAATTGCACGAATTTCGAGTTGCAAATACGGGCAGTCATTCTAGGCAGCTATATACTGTAGTATAGCAGTGTTTCGAGCCCTCGGCCAAATCCATTACCAAGTCAAGTGTGTCGTCAAACAGTTTCTCCGTTGGATACTCGAAATTAAAAGAGCACCAGCAGCAACGAAAAAGATGACTGCTGTCAGGTAGATACGAGTATGCCCACGAGCCTATCTCATGTGTACAGACATATAGCTGTTCTGACTCTTATTGAATTGTACACCTCATACATACATACATTGGCCGTATATGTATGCGAATTCTCGTACAAACGCTTTTTGTTGGCCCACATTGAACTTTGGTGTCGCACATGGCTGACATCTCTACTCAAATGTCTGTCTCAGTGTCTGTTTGTTTGTCCATCTGTCTGCCTGTCTGCTTGTTGGTCGTCACTTCGTTTGTTATTGAGTTCTGTTGCAATAGTTTTTTACATTTTCCTTTTTTTTTTTTTCAAATTTTGTCTTTGTGCCACAAACTGGTTCAAAGTTGTCGCTTTTATGCCGGCACACAAAATGAAAGGTAAATAGGCACTTGCGTACTTTGGAAATGTTTGAAAACGTTTTAGCTCGAATCGAACACTTGTAGCAATGTCTACAACAACATTGTCACTAGTTCGAATAGCAGTTTAAGTTGAAATCTAAGGGGGGAAAAAGAGATAGGCTAATAGAACCATCAGACAAGGTAAATGGTGTTTGATCGAAGTAATATCAGTTTTAAGCAAGTTTTCATGTTTTTATTACCAATAAAGCTATATTTAATTATGCGAAATTGATATTATATTATTGTTATTGATATAATTTGTTAACAATATTATTAGCTAAAGAGAATACAATTATATTCTCAATATTCACGCTTCACAATAGGTTTGAACATTACACAAAAAGCTTAACATTGTTATTTTTTCTTACAGAAAATTTAGCAAATAAATGGACAGCTTTTATAAATTAATCAAAAATATATAAAGGATCTCTAAAAAAAGAAACCAATTATCAATAATGTCTATGCAAAATTGAACCCCAAAAGTAAGTTTCTTTTCATAATTACATCAATAAATATACTTAACATTTAATATGGGCATTAATTATAATTTCAAACAAAAGAAATTTTTTTTTTCAATTTACAAATTTACCCAGAAAATCTGTTCGGCTCATCGGCTCGACTAAGAACAACAAATGTAGATAT